CCCCAAAACCCCAAAACCCCAAAACCCCAAAACCCCAAAACCCCGTGACGATGAAATTTAAATGAATCAACCAAAAGATTTTATAATATTAAAGATGAAATACATCGTATTAATCGCCCTCTTTGCTATTGCATTTGCTGAGATCCACCCAGTCAATGACGAGATCGTCAAGACTATTAAGGAGACTGCCACCTGGACCCCAATGGAGCCAGAAGAGAACCCATTCGCTTACATGTCTGTTGAACAGATCAAGGGAATGATGGGAACTAAGCTCAGAGTCTATGAAGACAATGCTGCTGAGGTCACTGCTGATATCCCAGCTGAATTTGACTCCAGAACTGCCTGGCCAGGAAAGGTTCACAACATCAGAGACCAAGGAGCCTGCGGATCCTGCTGGGCCTTCGGTGCTACTGAAGCTCTCTCTGACAGATTCTTCATTGAGAATGGTGTCGATGTTGTTCTCTCCCCACAACACCTCGTATCTTGCGACAGATCTAACTATGGTTGCAACGGTGGATACTTAGACAAAGCCTGGGACTTCATGCAAACTACTGGAGTTGTCCTCGACTCATGCATGCCATACACCTCTGGAACTACCGGACAAGACGGAGAATGCTACACCCACTGCACCTCTGAGACTGATGATGAATTCAGAAAGTACAACTCTGAGAGAGCCACCATGACCAGAGATGTTGCTACCACCCAACAAGCCATCATGACTGAGGGACCAGTCGAAGCTGCCTTCACTGTCTACCAAGATTTCATGAGCTACAAGAGCGGTGTCTACAAGCACACCACCGGATCTATGCTCGGAGGACATGCCATCAAAGCTCTCGGATGGGGAGAAGAAGACGGAACTAAGTATTGGATCATGGCCAACTCCTGGGGAACTGGATGGGGAGAAGATGGTTTCTTCAAGATTGCCATGGGAGACTGCGGAATCAACAACCAGATGACCTTCGCCCTTGCCCACAAGGATTAGTTATCTAAAATAACTTCCTGCAATAAAAATGACAAAAAGATTTGTCCATTTTCAAATTTACTTAACTTTTCTCGTCTGACAAACGATTGGTAGTAATTAGGTTATCACACTATTATCTAAAAGTACTAGTTTATTCTTTTCTTTCATCGGATTGATGTTTAGTATAAGTTCTAATTCAAAATAAATCTATCTACCATGTTGGGAATCATTATGACATCGGCTTAACTTATCTCCATTTCGGACTATGTCATTATTATTAAGCCTCTTGATCAATTCATATAATATTTGAAGGGGTTTTGGGGTTTTGGGGTTTTGGGGTTTTGGGGTTTTGGGG